TCTATAAAATAGGGTGAGCTGCAGAGACACGCAGGATCTATGACTATGGCTATGCGTACTTTGGAAGGCTTGGAATGTTCTAGATTATTTTTAGAAGTTAAAAACAAATAAACAATAGACAATTTAAAACCAGGATAAGGATGCAATCACTTTTCACCACCTCTTAGCTTCTATAGCACAATGCCAATGGAGCCTTGCCAAGGACAAAGCTTTAACTTAATTAGCTTTTACTAGCCAAGTTAGCCTTTATGTGGGTTGTAATGCTAGCCTTTGCCCCAAGGTAGGGAGACAGTATAGACTGTATATAGTCAGACATTTTTGCAAAGGAGGTTCATGGGCTAAGTCAGCCCTGAGGAAGGCAAAGGCAAGGCCGTGAGTGGAGAATACAGAAAAAAGTTTTTTTTACTAGTTTTTCATGGTATTGGAGTCAATATTTGATTGCACTGACTTATACATTAACAATTAAAATTAGCCTGCTTAGAAGGCGTGGTATTAGAGGGTGATAGAGAAGGTGGGCAATACCTGCTACTCGCAGGCTAAATTTAAATGAGAGTATTTTAAAGTATATGTAGCTTCAGTTAGAGTACAACAGTAACCTGTAGTACTTCGCCTGTCTTCCAGGCAAGAGGCCCAATCTGAATCACTATAAGCAGTGAGCTGCAAGTCAGCATCAGATTTCTTAAAGCAGAGTTCATAATCCCCGGTACCCTTTAGATACCTTAGGACATGTTTGGCAGCAATTAAATCTCCCGTTCTGGGGTTTGACAGAGTTTGAGACAGTCTGCTTACAATCCAACTTAAATCAGGCCTTCTACAGGCCATGGCATAAATTAAGCTTCCTATCATTTCACTATACTGTCTGGCGTTGGTCAATTCACCACAGTTAATTAAATTCTAATCGTTGCTCACATGGGGTTAACCTGGGCTTGCAGTCCAGCATTCCAAATCTCTCTAGTATTTTAAGAATGAATCTTTTCTGATTCATTTTTATTTCACCCTTGCTTTGCTTAAAATCCATTCCAAGGAAGAAAGTGATTCTACCTAGATCTTTCATCTTAAATTGTGTCTTAATACTTTCTTTAAATTCTTCCATTAACTGCATACTATCTGAAGCTATAATTAGGTCATCAACCCAAACAACGGCGATAACAATTTTATCATCAACTTGTTTCTTATATACACAGTGATCAGCATGGTTTCTGACAAAACCGTCATTTGCTAAATGCTCGTGTAACAATATGTTCCAATTTCTACCTGATTGTTTTAGACCATATAGCGATCTCTTTGGCCTATACACTAACCTCTCACCACTCTCTAGAACCTCTTCAAACCCTTGTGGCTGGTCTATGTATAACTCTTGAGTAATTGGGGCATGCAGATATGCAGTTTTAACGTCCATCTGGTGGACAATAAGATCATGTTTTACAGCTAACTGCATTAAGACCCTAATTGAAGTAATACTGGCTGTCGGAGCAAAAGTTTCTTGAAAATCTTTTCCCTTTACCTGGCTGTAACCCTTCGCTACATATCTGGCCTTAAAGGTCTCTATGCCATTCTGATCTTGCTTGGTTGTGTACACCCTTCAGAGAGCTGATCTCTTCCTTCATTGCTTGCACCCACTCCCTAGCTTGAGGTGATCCCATGGCTTCTGTGTAATTTTGTGGTAATCCACAAACTTTGTAGCAGTAATCTACACTAATGTGGGCATAATTGGCATTCTTAGGGAGAAGGGTGTCCCTTCTAAGTATCTTGGAGGGTTCCTTTCTCTTTGAGGATACCGTTTTGTCTCACTGTCATTTTCAGTATGGTCGCAATGCCTTCCCTCACTATCCCTAGGCTCCTCATCAGGCACTGTATTTGGCGGCATTGTACTTAAAACAGGTAGGCTCATACTATCTAAGTCTGATCTAGTATCATGGTCAGATTTCTCATGTACATCACAGTCCCTGCTGGACTCATCAGTTTGTGTGTGCTGTTCTACACTACCTTTCTTGATGAAGCTAATGGGTCGATGTTTCATGATTTTCCCATTTTGTGGGTAGTACACTAGGTACGAAGGGCTATTTTTGTCGTATCCTACAAATACCACCTTGCTGTATCTTGAGTCTAATTTCTTATGCTCCTGTTCGTAAGCAAAACATTCAGATCCAAAGATCCACATTTTAGAAAGATCAGGTACTTTTCCAGTAAGGCTAAAGTAGGGTGTTGTCTTTGTTCTCTTATTAAAACATCTATTACTAATGTGAGCTGCGGTTTGAATTGCATAGGACCAGAGCGTTTTGGGTAACCCTGATTGAAGAAGAAGACATCTGCCCATTTCGAACAATGTGCGCCAGTGCCTTTCGGCGGTGCCATTCTGGTGTGGCGAGTAGGGAGCAGAAGTTTCATGTTTTATGCCACGCTCCCTTAGTAGTGTTTGAAACGCCTTACTTGTAAATTCTGAGCCATTGTCAGAACGGATGCAACTTACCTTGCCATAAGGAGTGATGTCTGCTAGAAATTTCTCTGTTGCTACAAAGGTGTCACTTTTACATTTC